AGGACAAATACTGTATGATTCACTTGTATGATACCTAGAGTAGTCACATTCATGGTCTTTGCCAGGGGAATAGGGAATTACTGTTTAGTGGGTATAGAATTTCAGTTTTTCAAGGTGAAGAGAATTCAGGAGAGCGGTTGCACAGCGATATAAATGTATTCAATACTGAGCCGTGCACTTAAAAATTGTTAAGATAGTACATTTTATGTTACATATAGTTTACCAAAATTTTAAAATGTCATGATGTCTACAGTTGATCTAGAAATGTTTCCCCAGACTGCATGTGCATGTGTGTAGGCTGAGAAACTATTGACAAATATTAACAATTATTGAATCCAGGGAGAAATGAGGAGTGTCTGCTATTATTTTAATGTTTATGTACATTTGAAAATTTTATAATAGTTGAGGAAAATGTAAAGTTAACATGAACAAATATGATTCCATGCTTTCTTAATAAAATATTAACCAAATATCCTTCAAGTTATAGCATAAGTCCAGCATCTCCTAACACGTTTTCTGGCTATTCCAAGTCCTGTTGACTTAACCTTTTTTATATAAATAATCTTTTTATATAAATAGCAACATTTATAAGCCTCCAATACTAGCTGGGTCCACCAATTTTACTGTATGTAATTGTTTTAGTGATCTGTGCTGTGTAACAAAGGGCCCCCTAGTAAGTAGCTTCAAATAACAATGATCTAATATTGTTCATGATTCTTTGGATAGGTGGAGAGTTTTTCTGCTGGTCTCACCTGGGACTGTGTGTCAGCGTTCACCTGGCACGTGCGAACTGGTTATGAGAGTGTTAGGTATTCCTGCATGTGGCTTCTCTACATGGATAGTTTGGGGTGCTTCTTACAGTGACGGTCTCAGGCTGCGGAGACTTCCTGCATGGCAGCTGGCTTCCATGAGAACAGAAATGGAAGTGACCTGGCCACGTGCAGACTAGGCAGATGCTGGCACAGTGTCCCTTCTGCCACTTTCTCTTGGTCAGAGCAAGTCACAAGGCCAGTCTGGACCCAAAGGAAGGTGAAATAAACTCTACCTATTTTACCTTCTTTGCTGCTGTTCCCACCGATTGATGGAAGAAGCAGCAAAGAATTTACGGCCATCTTTACTCTGCCACGTGTTGGAGTGTAGATGCTGCACTGAGGAGTGAGCGGCAGCCCTTACCCTCTCTCACAGCACAGTTCAGTCCTGTGAAGGACAGGGAGAAGGAAACTGATGTGCAGTAAGTAACTGTGGGGGGCACGGTGCTAGTCACCCATCCTTAACAAAAAATTCTACAGTAGCACTGTTAGCATTTCTGTTTCACAGGTGAGATAGCTTAGGAATTTGCTGACTCAAGTGTACAAACCGTAGGAAGTGGAGAAATTGAGCCCCAAGTCTGGTTGCTCTTCCCTCCTTCCTAGGGGCTTCACATGGAAAACAGAAAATTAGCTTTGTCAGTTCCTAAGGTCCTTTCTAGTTGTACCACCATATTGATCTGATGGTATATAATGAATGTGTTAGAATATTAAGCCCTGCCCCTTCCAGCCTCTCTTTTTTCCCTTCTGCGCCATCAGTATGCAGCTTCCGCTGGATTCTAAGGTCCTCAGAAATACCATTCGATGTGTGATCTCTGTGCTTTCACGAAGGCCTGGCTGTGCTCCACACCAGCCTGTTTCTCAGATGTTCTTCATCCTTCAGGGTCCAGCTGTGTCACCTCCTTGGTAAAGCAGACGCTCCCAGGCCTGCCTTCCTGTGCACCTCCAGCATTCTTTGTGAAATCCTGTAACACAGTGGTTTTCAACTGGGAGCAGTCTTGGAGACATTTGGGGTTTTCACAACTTGGGGGTGCTGTTGGAATCTACTGGGCAGAGGCCAGGAATCCTGCTAAACATCTTATAATGCACAGAACCACTCCCCCAGCCCCAGACAACAAAGAATTATCTGGGTCAAAATGTCCATAGTGCCAAGGTTGAGAAATCTCATACAGAGCATTTTGTCACAGTGACTTGTTAGTTGTTTACGAGTCTACTTCTCCTGATAAATTATGAGTTTTGGGGAGCATGTTTTATTTTTGATTTCTGTATCACCAGTACATGGAGCATGGTAAACACTCAGTGAATGTTTTCTGACTGAATGAATCAAGCCCAGAATATGACCAATGCCTTAAGGGAGGTATGACTAGAGTGAGTGGGGCTTAAGGGAAAGAGATTCCTTGCTACTATGAGAGGTCAATCAGGAGGGACTTTGTGGAGGATGTAGGGTTGGAGAAACCATCAAAGGAAGGGTAGGATGTTGGGCAACAGAAAAGCACGTTAGGGAAAGGGAACAGTGGGAACAGCATTTGAGGAGAAAGGTGAGCGCTGTGTACCTAGGAAAGAGTTGCCCTGTGCGGCTAGAACATGAATGTGTAAGGAAAGAGTAAGATGCAGGGCTGGAAATTTGGGGCTTGGAATGACTGCCTAGAGAGTGCATTTCAGGCATCAGTGAGGACACATAGAAGGTTTTGACTGGGAGGGGGTTCAAGGGTGTTCTCAGGAAGATTACTCTGGTAGCAGGGTATCACAGAGGGAAGAGAAACAGATTAGTTGAGCAATCATTGCTCTTGTGCAGGTAATGAGTCTCCTCTGAGATGATGCCGTTGGAGCCACAGAGGAGAAGGTAGACAGAGGAAGTGCTTTGACACTCCCAAGAGATGGCAAGCTGGGTGAGGACAGGGACCATGACATTCACATCTGTGTCACCCACAGCACTTCACATGGCAAAGGAAGCACGTAGAATACATGTTCAGTACATGCATGAGGCAGATGTAGTCTGTTGAGACTAGTTTCCATATCTAACTGGGGAAATTAATCTCACTTCTTTCTGGGAAAGAAAACGTATAGTTGTTGATGACTAGTGTTTGTTAACTGGGTGATGACTGGTAAAATAGAAGGTTATTGTATAAACCTCAGACGAGATGAGGAAACCACAGTTCAGAGGGTTGAATCAAGGAAGTCTAGGATGTCTTTTGACTTCTCCAGCTCGTGCCTCCATGCTGAATTCTTTCTTTGTCGCTCAAACGGCGGAGACTTGTGGAAAACTGCAGAGGATGTCACCTCTCCCGGTGATGTGAAGCACCACACGAAGATGAGTTTCTTTAACCTTCATGTATTTATTTTGTTATCAGGGTTTTGCACACTGCCCCTCGGGTGGAAGAGGTAATTAAATTTTAGTATAAAAGACTTCCTACCAGACACCAGGCTTCATGGGGGAATAAAAGTAAATAATAGATAGCAAGGAGTATCAACCAATGATTAGAGCCTGTCCTGCTTAATTAGTTCAAAATAACTTCAAGGCAAGACTGTGGAGACGTATAGACACTCTAGAGTTGACCAACACAGGGTAGGACTCAAAGTGGGATGGAATTTGTCCTTAGGAGGCAGTATGGGCTGGGAAACAGTGGGAAATAGTGTGTACTGGGCTATCTTTTTGGCTTTTCTCAGTAACTCCTGGGGTAACCTGCATCAGGGACACCTTTATTCAGATTCTCCATCCTCATTATGGATAAGAGGAGAACAGTGGTCCTTACACTCTGCTTGGGGGAACTTGGGGCTTAATGTAATTCATGTCCATAGACATAATAGCACAGCAGAAAGAAAGCAGGGCCAGTGAAGCCAAATTGGGTTTGACGCTTAGCTTTGTCACTTCCTAGGTAGGTGACCTCGAGCAGCTCATTTGGCAGTCCTCTGCCTCAGTTCCTTAACTATATGACGGAAATAATGATTGGCCCAGCCTCTGCATGGGTGGTGATGTGTTAATACATGTAAAGCTCTTGCAAGACAGCTGAGCACAAAGTAGATGCTCAGTAAATGGAAGCCCCTGCTATTCATCACTATTACTATTTTTATTTTATTATTTCTTTAGTGGATGTATCATAAATCGATATATAAATAATCCTATCCAGTAACTGGAGTGTCCTTAAGACACAGCAAGCCCCAGCATCATTACTAGTCCTACAAACAAAAGTTAGGTGATGAGCCTTGAGATCTGTAGGATTTAGACAGGTAAGGGGGAGCAGGCATTCCAGAGACAGCTGACAAGCCTGCAAGAGTGAAGAATGAGCCAGCTAGGTTTCGTGCGGGAGCAAGGGGCCTGGCCTTGTCAGAGATGGGGCTGCTTTGCAGAGTAGTGGGAAATAGAAGCCCTCTGAGCACAGGGATTTCCTGTAGGGTTCCCCAGTAGAGTGCCGGGGAGATACATGCACTTGGCTAAAGGTGTATTGATGACATTTTGCCAAGAGTGATGAAAATTACTGACAGTGATAAAATCACGATGTCTCTCAGTGAATGCCATGCCAGCGGGGCTTCATGCTGTGCAGTGCTTCTGACCCCCCTTCTGACACCATGCATCTGCCCAGGTTGATGTGCTCATGGTAATGGAAACCATAGTGGTTGGCTTTGTTTTTCAGTCTGTAAGCTGGTGGCCATCTTACAAGCTTGGTATTCAAATCTGCTTTTGGCATTCTCGAAGAGCAATTATGTCCTTGTTAACTGTACCGTATAACTGTGTACGTAATGTACACACATGTAAATACATAGATAAAGGTAAAAGTTTTTTAAAACAAAATTTTAAAGAAGGCTGTTTGCCATCGAAGGCTTTCTCTCTCATTCCTGCCCTTTTGCTCAACGTCTTGTCTTTTTACTCCCATTCCCATAGACTGTCCTGTCCATGCTCCTTGAATCCCATACTCAAAGTTCCTATAAGCTATTAATACTTGATGGGTAAAACCATACTAGTTGAAACTGAAAACATAAAGCTGCATAGATCCAAAGGAATGACTAGGTAGTGGTGGAATTTCAGGTTGTAGAGGAGGTGTTTTGGGGTAAGACGCCCCATGCTTCAGGCAGGGTTCTGTTCTGACCGTGGAGATACAGGCCCTTTCTGCCTATTTGTGTATCTGACCCACGTGATAAAAGTCATAAAAGATTTTTCTGACTGACCATGAATGAGAAGTTCTGCCACAAAGTGAAGTGCTTCTTCCGATCCTTGGGACCACACTATCACTTCTCTCTATGAAAACTTAACCTCCTGAAAGGCAGAGGCTGTTTCTTCCCCTTCTATGTTTACCTTCATAATGCAAAGAAGCTCTTGCCCCCATGTTCAGAGTGTCCTTTTTATATTCTGAGAAAAGTGGTTGACTGCTGAATATCAAGAACGTCTAAAAAGTAGCAGAGGGAGGTTTTTGCTGAAATACTCAGACCGGTGCCAGGCACCTTTTTACCTCTTCTCTCTCAGGCACTGAGTACAGTGTTTTGTTCGATAAATAGTTGTTAAACTGAGGAGTGAGGAGTGCGTGGAAGATGGTAACACTTGGGTTTGCTTTGCCTTTTATAGAATTTTAATGGGACGTCAGTCCATGAGGAATTGTGTAACTGTGAGCACTTGAAACCAGAGCGAAGGGAAAGTGCTCCGAGGACGCAGGCATCACTTGCTGTATCACTCGTCATGATCATCTCTAAGGCATGGGAACAAGTACAGGGAGAAAAGCTTATCACTCAATCTGCATTAAGAATTAATAGTGTGTAAATTTGGGAGACAAAAGGCTTATGCAGATACTTAGTAAAATTTAAGAATGCCATGGTATAAACTGTCCTGTCCCTCTTACTTCTCAGGACAGGTAACACGTTCTCTGCTTCCTGCGTAAACCTAGCATCCAGTCCCGATTTAATATTCCCACTCTGTTTTTGTAATTAAAACATCATTTATACTGAGAATAATTAAGACAACTGTACATTTGATTTTAAAATCAGTTTTGAGTATTGTGCCTTGTCAAGCTACAAGAACGGTTCCTGCAGCTTTTACAACGTAGCATTAAGAAGCAGACAGTGACCGCAGGCACCTGAGTGGAAGGTTTGACAGTTTGATAAATTAGGAATGACACTTGCCAAAATGGCTGTCCTTCCTGCAGTCTGCCAGTGGAGCATTTGCACACTGTTAATTGAATTGGCAATTTGTGTAACAGTGCCTGCCCCTGAGCTTTTGTAACGCCGGATCTGCCATTTAACTCTGATAATCCAGGACTTGGGAATAAGGACGAAAAGCTTCACATGATATTACTGCAGATTTAAAATGACAGTCGGGGACCTTGTTGCCAATTTCCCATTAAATGAGAAATAATTAACAATAGCAATAACAAAGTCTTATAAAGCTGGAAAGTTAAATTGACTTTTCAGCACTAGTAGCGCACAAAATTGCTTCTAGTGGGATTATCGGATTGCCCTTTCAAGATTATATACCCTAAGTAGTATCCTATGATGAGGCGAACATGGGACGTTTTGTAAGCTAACCTGTTTTATTATTGTGAAAGTCTTCTGATTATCTGCCGGGATTGTATTGTCATTAAGAACTCGTTTTATGCTATAAGATTCCATAGAGCTAGAGACCTTAATGAAATACTAGAGATTCTTATTTCCTTAACTTTTGCCAGCCATTTAACGATGGCTCCCAAATGTTGAGCTACAGATAAGGAACGTCAGTTGTAAGTTTTAGAGTAGTGTACGTGGCTTGTTTTGGTGCCCTTCTTCGATGCTTCCGAGAGTTTTGAGAACTCCAGAGTATTTTTCGGTGTAAGTTTGCAACGGTCACATTTAGAACAATGGTTTAGAACGATACAGATTCCTGGCACAGGGTTCTTTTTAAAATCTCAAAAGATGTGACGTGTCTGTGATTCTGAAAGTCATGGATATTAGAGTTCATCACTGTTGCTGTTTGCTTAGTCCTGAAGTTGAAGTCTTTGGGGTGATACTGAGTTAGTGACATTGGCATGGGCTCGGGTGGCATTTACCTGTGTCCTCTGGATGGCCATACCCACTGGATATAGTCAGCATGTGTGCTTAAATATTTTGACTGCACCTTTGACCACATGCTGGTGTGTCAATATTAGCTAGATAAGGAGTGGACCCCAGAACAGTTAGAAGAGTTCTAGGCACAAATTTAATGGCAAAAGATGATCCTTCTCTAAGATTTCAGGTTATTTTTTATTATAGACTCCCACTTTCCAAGTGTACTTATTATTGATGTCCATTGAAATGACTGATCAAGGGAAGAAAAAAGTTCCCTTAGACATTCAGGATACTCAGGATTAGGATGAAATCTTCTGTTTTTCCCCATGGTTAGACAGTAAGATGGTCTTTTTGCTCTTTCGTGGAGTTGGCTTCTTTTTTTGACCAGTGGGCACATTTCATTAATTTAATGTGATGACAGATATGTGAATGGAAACCTACAGACAGAGTGGGAGATGAGAGGCGGTCATGCTGGTTGGAGATCAGGGCTTTTCTGTGCAGAGGTTGTATTTGAAGCCTGAAGCTGCGGTAACTGCATGGGTAAGAAGTAGAGGGACGAAGTGTTCTGAGCCTGAACAGGTCAGGCTTTGAGGGGAGGCAGAAGTCAATGGGGGGAACCATAAGTGCAGAATAGAATGCAGGAGGCACCGTGAGGTAAAATGAGGTGAAAGCGAACTTTCAAACAAGAGGCACTGTATGTGGACTCGTGGCACCTGGATAGTCTTAGCACCTTAGTGCTGTAAAATTTGACCAGTCAGGGAAACCATTCTGGGTTTCCATCTCTTCAGTGAGAAATGGGAATACATTTATGCCTGTTTTCACCTCCTGAGGAATTTTTTTGGGTATGAAAATTAAATGGATTATTATATGTGAAAATACTTTGCAAGTTATAAAACGCTCTGTGAAAATACAAGCTGTTAATGTAAGTAGGAGTATAGTAAGGGAATAATTGAGAGAGGAGTGGTCAGAACTTTGGCATGCTGGAGAACTCTGAAAGAAGATGAAGAGGAAGGCTGTCCGGTGGGAAGCATGCTCTCTGGAGCCATGTGGAGAATTGATTCTCATGCGGTGGTGAGGACAGGGTGCAGAGCTTTACAGAGAGACTGAGTCTGTAAAGAAATGCGGTAGCAGGTGTGCCTGTCACGGTGGTGCTGGGTGCTGCCTGTTATCCCCAGGATGATGGGGGTGTGTGTGCAAAGGACTGGCGAGTGTCACAAAACAGGAGAGGAACTTGGCACGAAAACTGCTGTGTTTCTGCAATTTGAAATGTCTCTGAAATGGAAAACGTGTCTTGTAATTGATGTATATGTTTAGTATGATAGGTTTTCTTTTTAATTTCCAGGAGAGCTGGTAGTAAATTGATGACATGTTTAAAAATTGGTGGCACTTTATGGAATCCAGGCAGTCTGGCAAAACGTTCGTATGGACATCACTTGCTAGTGGCCAACCCTGGCATACTTACCTGTTAAAATATTTGAAAGGTTTCTGTATCTTTCTTCATCCAAGGTTAGGGTATTATTTTATGTACCATTTATTGAATGCAAATCATATTGATTGCTTATTATATGCTAGGCACTCTGCTAATGTACATAATGTCATTTAATTCTCAAAATACTAGAAGTTAGGTACAGTTTTTAGCTCCCAGGTTATATGTGAGGAAACTGAGGTTCTGAGGTTACATTCCTTAAAATCCTGGCTTGCTATAAAACCTGATGCTAGGCTAGATACTGTGGAGAAGTGAAAGATACATATGAGGTGGTTTGTTCCTCTGGGTTACAGCACAGGAAAGCTAAAGCCAATATTAAGGAAACAATCATGCGAGAAAAATACACTGCAGTTCTGCCAGGACCATAGCACAGGCATGAGCAGGCTAGAAGGATGCCCAAAGAGAGACATTGCTTTTAACTAAGAAGTAAGGGAGAAGGTTTTTATAGGCAGGGGTAAAATTTGAACAGTAGAGATGAGGGGGTGGTAACACATGCAGAAACAACCAGGTGAGTGAAAGAAATGGAAGCATAAAAACACCATAGCACCGTGTGTGTTGAGGAGACACTGTACCGAGGGTGAGCTGGACTGGAGCGTGCACGCAGAGGACCTGTGAGAAATAAAGGCAAAACAGTCAGTGCACCGCAAAAGGATGCCGACCAGTGTTGTGTTGGTATAATTATGAGTTCACCGGTCATCGGTTTTCTTCTTCTGCCAGTTACTTTGGTTTTGTGTCTCCAGCCACTCAGTGAACCACCTCTGGGAGTGTAGTGGGTTTCTAATTTATGCTTGGGTATCCTGTGTTTTCAAAATTTTCTACGATTCTTTTGTCACTAAAAAAAAAACATAGTGGATATTACTTTAATAGCTTAGTTGACATAAGTTTGTTTACAAAAATGTAATGGAACATGAAAAGTTTATTTAAAATTTTTAAAGGAGGGACAGACCCTGGTTTTTAATGGTGACACTGAGCTACCATGTCATGATGAAAAAAGGGTGCAACTGAAATGACCTGAGTAGGGATCTGGAAGACCCTAGGTCAGACTCTCCTCATTTTTAAAGCTTCATTTATGACTGTAGTTATTGCTTCTTTTTTTTTATTTTTGGATGATATGTTCATATTTTCTTACACAGGTTACATACACATACCTGCATGTTCTTTTTATTGTCCATTATTCTTTAAAAATAGTTTCATTCACTAGTCTTCCCAATTTTTTTCTGTTTCACTTATTTGTGCTTATAAGATAAAGGTAACTTAATTTTTTGTTCCTTCAGATTTTCCCAAATATGCTTTCCCTAACTGCTTCTGTTACTCATTTGTTGTAAATTTTTGAGCTCCCTGAAATTTGCATTTAAAGGTATACATTTTCCTCTAAGTACTGCTTTAGCTGTGTCCCACAACTTTTGACATGAAGTTTTCTACACTGTCCACTTAAAATTTTTTGAAATACCTCTAATTTGTATGTTTAACTCCAAGGGTTTTAATAATGTTATCTAATGCCCAAACATACAAGGATTTTTTTTTTAACTGTCGTCTTGGCGTTAATTTTATTGCTTTATGTTTGAAAACTCAGGCAAATGGTGCCTTCACAACCCCCTAAACTGACAAGCTCACGTATGATGTTTTGCTGTTTGCTTTAAGAATTAAACACATTCACAGACACTGCTGAGTGTGTGCTATGTGACAAGCCCTGTTCGTTAAGCTTTTATTTCTGCCGTGGGGTGGGGGAGCTCAGGCAGTAAACAAGCAAATGCACTAACAACATGAATGTGAGGGTAGGGTTAGGTACTATGAAGACATGAAGCAGGGTGAGGTGGTAGAGGTAACCTGGGAGGGGCAGGTGTGCCACTTTTGTCAGGGTGAACAAGGAAGGCCTCCCTCCGTTGACGGTTGGTCTGAGACTTGGATGAGGAGCCAGCCACAGCAAGTCTGCAGACCAGGAGTCCAGAGGAGCAACAATCACAAGGTTTCTCAGGTGGGAACTAACTTGGTTTTTTCCAGGAGCAGAGTGTTTTAAAAAAGAAACCCAGTGGGGCTGGAGTGGAGGAAGTGGGAGGACAGTCTCAGATGAGGGTGGCTAGGCAGGCAGGGGCACAATCACGTGGGCCTTTCAGAACATGGTAGGAGTTGGGTTCTATTCTAAGTGTGATGGGAAACCACTGGGTAGCTCTAAACAGAGCATATTATTAGTAAGCCTTTTTTCCTATTTGCTATTAATATGAAATAAAGAGTGTGTGAGTGAGTGAGAGAGAGAGACAGAAACACTTAAAAGGATGCCTGGAACATATTAAGCTTTACATTAGTGTGTGTTACTGTTAGATGAGAGTGAGCTTTTTTTTATTATTATTCCTGGTAAATGCTTTGGCTCATATTTGGCAATATAAATGTTTAACTGAGTAAATAAAACCCACACAGCATGGATATTCTAACTTCACCCCCACCCCTTTCATTTTGTTGGTTCTTAAAAACATTGTTCTGTGAGTGAATCGTCTTCAGATTGATTTTCATGTGCTTCCTGTGTGACCCTGAGCAAGTCACTCTCACAGAGCCGTTGTGAGGATTAAATGAGATAACGCCAGCGGCAGGTGGAAGGTAGGCATACAATGTGCACTCAGCGGTGGCTCTTTTAATGGCCTAATTATGGTTCTGTAAACTCTGTTTAGGTTCATAATTCCTTCAATTTGTGACTTAATTACTTGGAAGGATAATTCCATTCACTGTATACTAAGTATCTGAAAGTATAGAATAAGACTAAAAACGCTTTTCTGTCTTCATAGGGGTGCTTTTATAGTTATTAGACATCTCATATTCCACAGGCTTTCTCAGAGGCCGCCAAATAAATTGATAGTCACTTAACATTCAGTTTGGAGGGTCAGGGAGTCGAATTTTATGTAAAAGGTTATTCAAAGAGTCTGTTTTTCCTGGATTTATTTGTTTGTGAGGACAAAGAGAGAAGCCTGCAATTTGTAATTTCTATTGAGCAGTGACCTACATGTAAAGAGATATTTTACTTATTTATGAAGAATAATTAATTATTTGCCGGCGTGAAGGAGGAAAGCATTCTAATGAAGGCATACATTTTAAAGCTTGAGGTGGAGGAGAGGAAACAAAAGTTGCCAAAATTTAAACTATTTACATTTCGATGATTTAGTATGAAGGAGATAAAACATTCCTCAAACTGGTATAGTACTAAGGGTAGCAGTGAGTTGAAATTTATAATAACGTTTTATATGCTGCATCGTAACTCTTGAAATCCAAGCTTGTAAATCAGGAATCATCTTATCAGGGTAAGATCTCATCAGTATCCAGACATTTTTAAGGCTATAAAGTTGTACATAATTTATACATATGAATGTAGTACATGTGCAAGAAAGCTTCAGCTATCTGAAACTTAAAGGAAATTATTTTGGATAAAAGGGGTCTATTCTTTGATCACCAAACTTTTTCTTTTTTATTTAAATCATTTTGAAAAGACTTTGTGTGTGTGTGTGTGTGTGTGGAAGATAATTGAGCCTTTTCTTTATGACTTAGGAGCATTATTATGTATGCATTTCATTACCATGAAAATAACATGGTGTGATGTCCTCAGGGACCATTGGACTGTGAGACCTGCTTTAACTGTGTACCAAATTGGCCCGTATTATAGTGCATTTTGAGGATCTTTTTCCCCTGCTGTTTATCTCTCCCCCATCTTTCATTCTTCCCTTACTGTCAACTATAACTCCTCTCTGCTGTTAGCATTTCTGGATCTCCCTTTGCTGCTTCCGATGTGCTTTTAGCTTCGACACCTCAATTGGTTGGAATTATATATAAACTAAGCGTGAACAGAATCTGGTAGAGGACAGAAGGGTTCCTCTGTGGATATAGTCCCGGGACTCTGTGCTAACTCTTGACCCTTCAGAGGCGTTTTTCAGGTTTATTAACCTCATCTGCATTTTGGGTGAGTGACATAACCTCACATAAGGCACAGAGACACTCTGCGGAATAAACTCTTTGCTACCTGTATGGGTGTGCCTCACTCACAGTTCTTCAGTCTTGGAATATATTTATGTCCAGTTTTCTGCCCTATGGTAATACTACCCCCAAAAAGAAATACTTGTCCTAATAATATTTTTAGAGACCTGGAAATAATCCTCTCCCTTCTCTAATTTCCTAGACAGCTCTCGTTCCTGAATGTATTTTAGCCCATGATTCGTGCACTGAGTATGTAAATGAGATCTTTGGTGGTGTTACATAAAACTTTCAAGGAACAAGCCTTCCCCTCAATTTTAAGTAATTAAAGCTTCTATATACACTGAACTTTAAGCCTGTACAAAAGTATTATGTGGGAAGTTGTAAACTTCCCAAACTGAGTTTATTTATAAGTTTCTTAGTGTGGTTCAGCTGTTTAGTTTGACCTCTGACTAAAATAAGTTTACCAGCCTTTCACCGTAATGATCTTATCTTTACAAAGATAAATATGGCCGTATTTCTCAAAAATTCAGATTAAGAATGCAGGTTACTGGGATTTATGAAGACTATTTTTCTTTTCAAGTATTTGATCAGTATCATGGAATGTAGTTAGACACCTTGGAAAGCCATTAAATAGAAATACATCATGATTTTTAGGGGAAGAAAGGCAAATAGAGAGGAGAGTATACTGTTTGATGATTCACTCGTGTACCCAACTGACCATTTGGGGCCAAGGAAGCTGATTTTTATGTTTTAAAATTAATCCAGCCTAGATTAACCATGTCACGTCCCCTTAACCACAGGCGTGTGACTCTCAGGGTAGACAGCTGTTTGGATGTCCCACACTGGGACTGTTGCCCTCAACAAACGCTTCTGATTCTCCTACATGAACACTTGGCAGCATCTCTGTGCACCCATATGGCTGCATGGCATCATGCCTGTTGACAAGTCAGTAGAATTGTTTCACTAGGACCCAGGTGCCAAGCAAACATGGGTTCGCTCTGGCTGCCTACTGAACTATGCAGCTTCTTTCTCAAACAAACAATAAAAGACCTCTCCTTGGTAATGACCTCCAAGTTAATGGCAGTATATTTATTGGCATTGCATTGCTTTCCCTACTGTTTCAACACGGTCTCTGTCTGTAAAGATAACAAAAGAAAGAAGAAGAATGATACCTCCTGCAATTACTAAGCAGATAGTACAAAAAACATGAAATACAAATCTGGGCTGTCACCTCTGACGTCTCAGTACGCGCACCATTCCCAGGGCCTCTGTAGTCCTGCTTGAAGAGGGAGGGGAGCATTGGTGTGCTTCCATGACCCTGCGACTGGTCATTTAACTTTTGTTTTCGAGTGGTTTCACTATTTCAGTAGGAACAGTAGTTTTCACGTAGGGGATCTGATGAAGATCTGTGAGATGATATGTATATATGCTTTGCGCTCCTTGAAGCAAACATATGAATCCGTGTGACTGCTGTGCCTTGGTAAAGGAAATCCTGCACTTGTCCTGGAATTAGCAAAAGGATGTTTAAGAAGTCCAACATCTTTTTCATTTACTGTTTTCTAAATAGCTGGTTTTTGTGTTTTACTTGAGTTTATGAAACACTTTTACTTATGTTGTTTAATTTGTTCTTTAGGTAAAATTTATGAAGTAGGTTGGTCAGGTAATATTATTATTAATTTTATTTTTAAAATATGAAAACTGGAGCTAAGAGCAGTATTGTGACCTATCTCAAGGTTTCTGAAAGTTTAAACTGACAGAGCAAGACTCCAACACAAACTTTTTTCCTGAGAGTATATTGCATTGAGGGTGAAAGGGTCCTTGAGAGCATATACTCATTTGGATGGATTCAGTTCTATATCATTATTGAGTAAAGCCTCCAGATAGTTAAGAGGTTGATTGGAATATATATATGAACATGCTCATTAAAAGTGACTTTAATAGGAAATATCCCCAACAGCTGCCACTGTAATTTATTGCTTTTATTTTCTCACTTGATTTGCTTCTTGAGTAATCTTTTGGGTCAGTTTCTTGGCAACAGTTTTGATTTGGTTGTTTCCTTTTGTTAGAAGGTCAAAGAATGTTCATTTGCCTAAAAGAAAGGAAATTTGTCAGGATTCCAGAAACCCATACTATTCTAGATGTGACATAGAGCTTTAAATCTGCATCACTTCTAATTAATACCAGTGTATGAACGCTGGCATGACTTTAAGTCCATTTTTGGGAAGCAATTGAAAACAAATGAGAAAAGTTGTAGGTAAAGGGGTTTTGAAGGAGACATAGCCTGATAGGACTTTGCTGTTACCTTCTTCTCTTAGATAGGACATGTGTCAAAATTCTCTGCTGGAAAATTTTCAATCAGAAGTACAATGTAAATGGGAGAGAAATTTCATAGCCAGGGGGATTAGAAGATAACTTCTTAATGTTGAAAAGGAATAAGACAGGGTTGAAAAGTGGGATTGTCACTGAGTCAGTGTTTGACATCTGAATATTTAGAAATATTTGAAAAGTAGGTATGGCAGGTTCACTTTGCGTTTTTATGGTACAAAGCATCCCACTTTGCACCCCTATTTCTAGTGTTTTTTTTCCCACTTTCGAAAGGGCACTATACCTTATGGAAGTATACTTTCTATACCATGCCATCCACCCAACTGTAAGCGTGCAGATGGATGGCTTTTAGTGAATTTCAGATTATGTGACCATCACAACCACCCACTTCGAAAAGAGGGCCATCGTCATGGCAAGTTCCCTCACGCCCACTCATCCCTGTTCCCACCTCCAGTCCAGGCAAACACCAGTCAGCTTTTTGGTTCTCCGTATAGTTCTGCCTCTTCTAGATACTTCTTGTAAGTGTAGTCATGCAGTGTGTAGTCCTTGGTGCCTGGCTTCTTTTCCTTAATACAGTGTTCTTGAGTCTGTTTCAAGTTGTGTGTATCTATGGTTAATTCTTTTTTATTGCTAAGTATTAGTTTATTGCATGGATATACTATGTATTATTTATTTGCCAGTTAACAGATACTTGGATTGTTTCTGATTTTAGCTATTTTGAATATGGTTGCTATGAACATCCACAGACAAGTCTTTGGAAACATGTTTTCATTTCTTGTGAGTAGACACATAGTTGTGGAATTTCTAAGTTGTATGTTAGATGCATGTCTAATTTTTAAAGAAAACGCAAAAATTATTTTCTGAAGTGATTGGATTAGACCATTTTACATTCCCACCAGCAGCATATGTTCATTTCAGGGTTGATTTATTTTTTTAATAGCCAGTTTCAGTTTTTTGGATTGTGCAGTGTTGTCTCATTGCAGTATCTCATTGCAGTTTTATGTCTTTATTAATTTTCTATTGCTGTGTAACATATTACCACACACATAGCAACTTAAAGCACATAAATTTTTATCCAGTTTCTGTGGGTCAGGAGTCTGAATACAGGTTAACTGGGTCCATTATTGAGGGTCTCCCTGGTTGAAATCAGTGTTGTCTGGGACCACATTCCTATATGAGGCTTGTGGTCCTCTTCCAAACTCACTGATTGCTGGAAGAATTCAGCTCCTCGAGGTTGTAGGATTGAAGTCTCCACTTTCTTGCTGGCTGTCAGCTGAGGTTCTCTCAGCTTCTAGGGAACACCCTACAGTGGTCCTTGACCTGTGGCCCCCTCCAGAAGCAGTTTACAACATGGTTGTTTGCTTTTTCAAGGCTAATAAAAGACTCTTTCTCACTTTGAATCTCTTTCAGGGAAGACCTGTAGCCTCTTTAAAAAGGCTTACCTGATTACTCCAAGCCCATTCAGAATAATCTCCCTTTCGATTAACTCGGAGTCAACTGGTTAGGAATCTGCGTTACAGCTGCAAAATCTCTCCACTTTTTATCATATGATTCAACATAATCATGGGAGTGAAATGCCATCATATTCACGGGTAGTGGCCATACTTAAAGGAAATGGTTATATAGCACATATGGACATCTTGGACTTCTGCCTACCACTGGTTCCTTAATGACTGATGATGTTGAGCATCTTTTCATGTGTTTATTAGCCCTTCTTATCTCTTCTTGGTGAAATTCTATTCAAATATTTTAACCATTTTTTATTGGGTTTCCTGACTTATTGAATTATAAAAGGTCTTTGTATATTCTAGATACACGCCATTTATCAGATTTATGATTTGTAAATATTTTCTCCTAGTCTGTGGTTTGTTCATTTTCTTTAAAAACAGGATTTTTAATTTTACTGAGGTCCATTTTATCATATTTTTAATGGAGGATATTTGAGTGTCATATATAGAAATCTTTGCCTAACCTGAAGTCAAAAAGATTTTCCCTTACGTATTTTTCTAGAATTTTATAGTTTTGCTCTTAAAGTCTGTGATCTATTTTGAGCTAATTCTCATGCATAGTGTAAGTGTCTTTGTTTGTTTAGGCATATGTACATCCAGTTGTTCCAGAAACATTTGTGGAAAAGACTATCTTTTCCCTGTTGAATTGTGTTGACACTTCTGTTGGAAATTCAGTTGACCATGTATGTAAGGGCTTTTTTTCTGTTCCATTGGTATGTGTGTCTATCCTATGCCATTACCACATTTCTTGATTTCTGTAGCTTTGAAATAAGTTTTGAAATCAGGTTGTGTAAGTCCTACAACTTTGTCCTTTTTAAAAAAATTGCTTTAACTATTCTGGCTCATTTACATTTCCATATAAGTTTTAGGATAAACTTGTTAGTTTCCATGAAAAAGCCTGTTACAATTTTGATAGAAATTCACTGAGATCCATTTGAACAAAATTGCTGTCTTAACAGTATTGAGTCTTCTAAACCATAAACATGGCATATCAGTCCATTTAAGTCATCTTTAATATCTCTAAGCAATATTTTGTAGTTCTCAGTGTACATACAGATATTGTAATTCTTTTGTTGAATTTGTTCCTAAGCAGTTTATTTTTTTAGAATTTATTTAGAAATAATACTTGTGTAGTATTTCTAAAATTATTTTACGGCTTTCTTAGGATATTTTACATAGAGAATCTTGTCATCCATGAATAAAGACAGTTTTAATTATTCCTTTCTAATCTCAATGGCTTTAATGTCTTTTTCTTGCCTTATTGCACTGGTTAGAACTGAAGAAAGAGCCTTGTAAGGAGCAAACTTGGTAGCTTGAAGATAAAACAGAATCAACCTGTTATTGTCTGCTTCTTAGATGTAAATGTCCCTTCTGAATAGTTATTCTAAGAGCTGTCTTCTAACACCCATCCTCTCTTTACTTTCTAGCTAAGAATTATGATGTCCCATCTCTTAAAATAAATAATTAAATATTTATGGCTTAGGGGGAGAGATCCTTTTGAGTCTTTTGTCAAAATCCATTGATTCCTAATCCATGGAGATCGTCCTTTGTCTATGCTGTTACCACATCTTTTATGCATGTTTTGGTATACTGTGCATCACAACTTATACTCGAATATGGCATGCTTTTCTTTCAAATCTTTTTCTTTTCATTTTTTCTGAGGAAGAAATGAAAGGCGCATTGGCCTGAAAATCAGAAGACCTGGAATTGAGTTGCTAGCTAGCTGTTTGATTTTTGGCAAATCTCTTACCTTCTCTGAACTTCTGTTTTTTACATCTGTGTAGTAAGATGATTGAGTCTTATGTTATAAGTGTAAATACTGTTATATGTTTTAGTATTTTATGGTTATGAGGACATAGTACTTTATACATCTTAAACAAGAAAAATAAAATTAATCGTACTGAAATGATTTTTAAAAATTCAAATTTGTTTTCTAATTGCATATTGAGGAGATGAAAAAGCTCTAACTCACCATACAATCACAAAAGCCATCTATGTTAAAACAAGAATTTCTTTTCTCCGACAGCATGGCCATCAAATAGGCAAAATTTAAGAATTAACATTAGGCTTTCTGAGAAATGCATATTGTGAAACTCATACATCTTTCTTCATTTATATTAAGATATAACGTAAACTGTATTGTTGCAGGCGCCTTCAGGGAAGTCACCAAAATTATTTCACTTAATTTGTGTGTGTGTGTGTGACATTATTATTGTAGAATTTTGTTTAAGTTGTGTTTGACCAAACATTTTGTGCCACCAGTAATGTAGAATTTTGTTTTAATTGTATTGTGTTTGGCCTAACATAAATTAACTCTGTAATTCACTGTATGATAGCACATGCCATCAGGTTTTCTGCTAGCCCACCATGTATTTATTATTGTTATACTAAATATGTTACCATAATAATGATAAATCCGAACATGGGACATGATTATGTTTCAATCCTGATTCTAGTTGACCTTTCAACTGAAGATAGTGTGCTGTTTCATTTAAGACCACAGTTATTAGACTTTAAAGTATTGAGTGGGATCTTTTTTTTTCCCACGGGGGTGGGGAAGCAGTGGGGCAAAGCACAGTGTAGCAGCATCAGCTTACAGTGTTTAACAGCAGCTCAGCTTTTTCAGAGTCTCTTTTTTTTTTTTCAAGAGATGCTAAAAGGGTGTTCAAAAAAGATGAAAGCTACATGATTAAAATGAAGCGTGCTGTAATGTTCCACTGGCAGTTTATGCTACATAGTCTATATACTCTGGTCTAATCATCTTGTATTGTGTCTGACTAGTTTATGGTGGTTGAAAGTTTCTTGGCCAGAAAGGACCTTGTAAAATTAGTTCTTATTAGAAAAAGCATGGATGGCTGCAAAATTTCGAGACAGGCTGATTTTAGTCCTGTCAAATGACATAAATAAATCATCAGCAGGAAGGTTTTAGTCTAATTGGGTGGGGGAAAAAATCAAGCAGATTTGTGTTTAAAATTTCCTAATGAATAGAATTCCCATCAAACTAACAATTCAGTTCTTTCTATAGATTTGTCCCTGAATCCTTGTTTTAAGGAATTCTAATGTGTGTCTGTGTGTGTGCTTCAGAATTTAAAGTTAACATAGACAGATAAAATGATAAAATATGAATAGAATACCTTGGGCTATCCAAGTTAAGTAAGGACATAAGATGACGGTCCAGAGTATCAGCATGCAGAATTTGAAGTCATGATAGTTCGTGAGCAAGAGTCAAAAGGCTTAACTATTTCCTTTCCATCCCACGGTTGGGCAGCTTTTGGGGGGTGACTGGGTTTGGGTGGTTTTTTTTTTTTCCAGTTTTAGTTAACTTTTGTTCTAGTAGTAAGAGAATTGGTCTCCATCTCCTAAATGAAAGAGTATACAGTTGCCCCTTGGTATCTGTGGGGTATTGGTTTCAGGACCCCATGGGTACCAAAATCTACGGCTGCTCAAGTCCCTTTTATAAAATGGCCTAGGACAGCTGGTCCTCTGTGTCAGCAGGTTCTGCACCCACAAATACAGAGGACTAGCTGTGGTCATTTTATGTGTCACTGGTCACACAGCAGAGAGTTGATATCAGAGTTGAGTTATGGTGTTTGTGTATGATTCGTTTAACTTCTTTCTTCTTAGGTAGCAAGTTTTTTGTTTTCATTTTGTGAAGTTAAACATTTGATAGTTTGTTAATATACCAGTTGTTAAGATTTCACACTATAGCTTGCGTGTTACTTATAGGTTAAAAGGGAAACCAAGGAAGTACCTAAACACATTGTTTTGGTGAAAGGAACAGGACAGTCTTCTTAAGTTTCCCTAAATTTTTAATCATAAAACCTAAACCTTTCTTGGTCGTTTCTGTGAAATTATACTTGCGCGTACTAATGTGTTAACTCTGCAGATACAGTTTTGCTAGGTGTGGTTTCTTACAGCGTTTATCTGAATAATGTTGAAACTGTTAGCTCAAGGGGCTTGTGAAAGGAATCTAGAAAGAGAACAGAGAAGAGATGGCTTCATTCTTGTGATCTTAAGTGAAAATGTTCCTTCTAGTGAGAGAGCCACAACACTGTCACCTCCAATCTTACAATAAAAAAAACAAATAAATCTCAAAGATATTTTATTTATTGGTAGCTTTGATCTCAGTTTTCAGCTGAGGATATGTAGTTTTCGTGTGCCAAACTCTACTTAAATAGGCAAATTTTTTTTGACCTAAATCTTACAAGCATGTGTTACCTCCTATTAATCTTTATAAGCTAGTGAAAGGAAATGTAGTGGCTTTTATAGCTTGACAGTTTTAAAAACAAATTATCTTCAAGTAGATCAAGTTTTGAAATGAGGGAAGCCACATGTAATCTCCGAACTATACATTTTAGTGGCACCTGCTGAGTATCAGGTGCTTATAACTTGGCCATAAAAATTCATTCCAGCCCAAAATCTAAAGTCTCAACTCAGCAGGAATCTTAAAACAGAATTTGGCTAAAATGATTTATTTTTTATTCTGTAATCTGAGAGGTGCAGAAATAGAAGGCTTAAGATCTTGGGCATGATTTTATGGAAAAACTTTAAAGGACACATAGGACATTTGTACATGCTATAGGGTGGCACCCCTGTAAACTGAAGAAAGAGGGAAAGGGAGGGAGAGACAGATGGGGATGGGCAATGGAGGGTGGGAGGACGGATGGATCTTGACTGTTAAAAGAACGGCTCTTTCGTTAAACTTACTGGGTGGATGCATGTTCAATTAAGGACAGTGGTATATGCCTGTGCTCGAAGCTTGTCAGGTTGGCAGGTATTAATGGCGCCTGGTTTCTGTAGGTGTCTTATCTTGGATTCTGCTTCAGTCACCCTACCTATTGTTGGTGTGAGGAAGATTCCATATAGCACGGTTAGGCCTTTGCAGGCTAGGAAATAATTTTGGGGAGATGAGAGTTCATTTAAAGAAGTTATCATTAGTTTCATCTCGGCCGCTTCAGAATCACTATAAGCAGACTAAGTCCTCTTAAGCACAGTTTATCTTCAAGACTCTGTTTTTATTTCAGTCATCTCTTCTGGTTTGTTAGCATCTTGTCACCAATCCTTGGGCAGCCATGAGGCCCTGGGAGACCAGATGTTCCTTTTTCCTTTCTTCCCTGGTCTAA